CTGCGCCTGCTTAAAATTGCGACAACCGGCCAACGCGACACCGGCACGCAAATAGCCAAGTTTGACCCGACTGAAAAACTGTTGGAGGATCTACTCCTTCTAACTTCCCAGTCTCCGTTGTTTCCCTATCTGGCTAGGAGCATTCAGTCCCAAATAAGCGGAGTGCTAGCGTCAAGAAGCTCAACAAGTTACAAATATATGAAGAATCTACTCTGGTTTTTGTGCTCCTGTTAAGCATCCATCCATCTAGCTGGCGACGCAAGCAGGACTATCGCACTGTAGGAGATGAGTATGAATCTAAGCAGCATGAACGTGATAGTAGACTTAGCTTTGCCGGTATTAAGGGCGTATCCGGCAATAATTCGGTTCACTAGTGTGAAGGAAGATTAGCTGGAGGCTTCAGTACCAAACGAGAAGTTCCGAAAAAGAAAAAAAAAACATTTTCGTCCCCGAGGTAACGTCCAGTGAACTTACAAATGTCTAAGACAGTACTAGTGGTTCTATCCTATGACCGTGACCACAAGGACGCAGCCAATGGCCAAGTGGTACCCCCTTCTGATTCAGCGATCGCCAATCGGCGTTTTGTGGAGTATTCTGAGAGGTAAATAACAATGTTCCTCACACATGCTACAGAAGCGATCAACTGCCACTGGGTGCCTTTCTTAATTTCGCTGACTATTGTAATAACGGTATCCAACCCAAACCCGCGAATAAGATGGTGTGGAGAACTAAAAGGTAAATACGATAGTTACTGCGGCAAGCAGTAACCATCTGAAAGTCAGACACAAACTCTCAATTGAAATTTAAGAATATTGCCTGGGGACGCCATGACAAATTAAACAAGCTGTACAAGTTGCTAGCAAGATGCGCCTCTGAAAAGAAAACCATTTACAGGCATTAGTACGCGCAGTCGGTATGAAAGAATTGAAGAGCCAACAGAGCGTAAAAGATTCAAATGATGTCGATACAAGTTCGAATCTTGATGTGGGCAAAGTGCCTCTTCCTTCAGGCTGGGGGGGCTAGGCCTCATAAGTTCTCATAACAAACCGCAGTGCGCATATATCTAAATATCAAAATTATATACACGTCTGTATAGTGTATCGTATAAATAAGAGCTGAACACGACAGCGAAGCCGTCTCAAAGGCAGGAGGAGGGGGGTGGAGCATGTACAATTGAGCGGTGTCTTTGCCAGGGGAAGGACCCGTCGCGGCCTTCACGGAGACAACAGTAACTTGAGTAAAAAGATGCGTTGGGACATCGCATAACAAAACAAAAAGGCGCTGAATAATTACGCTGACTTTCCACGAAGCGAGAAACGCAATTAAGCAATGGGCTGCCAGGGATCAATGTAGCAGACCACCGGAAGATGCCGCAGAGCATGATTTAAGGACCGAAACGAAAATCCCTAAGGAATAGAAAAAGCAGAAGGTAAAATAAAGGATCTTCAAATGCGATGGTGGCGCCCCATAAATTCGAATGTATTAACAGCCTTGTTGTCAATTCGTATCCCGAAGTTTGCGGAAGTGCGAAGATGGAAAGGACTGATACGAGTCACCAGAGAAGCACCCATTTGCACGGCGCGGTGGAAAACCAGAACAGTCACACACGCGCGAGCTTCTCTTTCGCGACACGGTGCAGCTGGGTGCAGGAAAAGGGGAAAACGGGCAGCAACTTTGGACAGGGGCGCCAGGAATCACGAGCCTGATGGAGGGTTCACATTAGGAGTGCTGCTATTGTTTGATGGCTGGGAGTTGGTCATCACGGCGACAATCGGACCACCACGACCGGGAGTTACAAGCTGCGAATGGGCTCCTTGGCCTTGTTGGCCGGAGTTTGTAAGGAGGATGTGGGGCTGGTGTTGGGTGGGTTGTTGGCCACACGTTCGGAAGTGCACCAGTGTAGTTGGTTGATTGGAGCCAGAGCCAACTGGCGCAGCGACTGTTCGGGTGATGGCCGATATTGGAGCGGTTCCAGTGGGAACGATGCGATGTTGGCCGAGGAGATGGGGTTGCTGCGAGTGTCCAATAGTCGTAAGCAGAGTTGTGCCTCCACCCCCACCAGCAACCGTGGTACCTACATAAACGGTACCATTGTTCGAGGTTGCCGATGCGCACGGCGTGTAAACGTGCTGAGGCCCTTGAACCTGCATTGGCGGTTGAGACTGTATCACGGTGGGCCCGGCAACGGTTCGGAGTCGGAAAGTTTGCGTTTGCTGCTGTTGTTGCTGTGAAACAGGGTTCAGAGACTGTTGTGGCACACCCTTCAAAGGCGGTTGTTGCAAAACAAGCTGAACGGTCTGCGGCTGTTGGGCTTGTTGGGAGTGCTGAAACAGTGAAGACTGAGAGGCGCTGTTGAGAATGACTTGCTTAGGTGTACCCCCGCTGGAGATAGACAGGACAGAACTCATGGGCTGGGTGAGGAAAGTAGTAGACTGGCCTTGAGGATTCGTTGGCGTTAGGACCACAGAGTTGGCATGGGTAACAGTAGAAGGCATTGTGCTTGAAAGGCCGGCAGGATTAGTGGGATTATGGACGTTACTCGATCCGGTGCCAGCCAAGGAACTCGAGGCAGCCTGCTGTCGCTGTTGAGCATTCGCGCGTGCATTTGCTTGGTTCATTAAGCGCAGTGCATAAAAAGCAGCATGATATTCTGGG